TGTACCAAATTAAAGGATTATTACTAATATTATTCTTTGAATTCTGGTAAATGCACAGTAAGCAACAAATCTATAACACCAAAATTCAATTCTTCCTGTATTTCTCATTGGATGTAGAATGCAGTGCCAGCCTCTCACATTCTGTTTCATGTAAAAAATATCAGACTCCAGAAAATCTCAGTTTGGATCACATTCTGAATGTTTCGAAATACAGTAATTTCAGAAACATTCGCAATGTGATCCAAACTAAATCTGATAGTGAATTTTTTTTGTGGGGAGGGGTTTAAAGTTGAAAATAATTTCTGCTGCTGGTTCAGAAGTGACACTCAGTGGAATATTTGCAGATAGTTATAAATAAATGTTCGTTTTGAAGGGCAGAACAGGAGGAAAAATGCATCAGTCCAATTTGCAGGGCCAGTGAATACCGAAGGTACTTAGACTGATATGAAGCTGGGCTTCATAACATAGAGCACTATGACCGTACTTAGAGAAACACATCCCACTCAGATTGCTCATGCAGCAGGTGATTTGCACCAATAAGAAGGATCAAGTAAAGGAGGATGAGGAGGAGGATGGAGGCATCACGCTGCAAACAGTCTGCACGAATAACTGAATTTAATTGCCATACAGTGTCCAAAGTTATTTAGGCTCAGCAGACACAGCCTGAAATATTTTTTGGTGGATTTGCAAAGTGAGTTGAAGTTTCATTGCCAATTCTTCTTTGTTGTCAGATACTGTGAAATGTAATCCCATTTGCACAGTGAGGGGATTCCACTGCAAACAGTAGAGGCAAGCAGACACTGCAAACCTTCACGTGTGTCGTTGTCTTGGTAGTTAAACTTGATGTCTGGGGAAACTCCACTCAGGCTAATAGTCAGGGAACTGAATTGCTGGACTGTCCAGGGCAGAGTATTCAGGCCACCAGTAGCTAGGAGAAATTACAGGCAGGACTGTCAAAGACAACAGCATGGCCTCAATTCCTTTATACTATTACAGCTGAAATCAGGGCTCCTTTGTGGATAGCACTGGAAAGTAAAAGCAACATGAATGATTTACATCACTTTCTGCCGTCATGTTTGAATGATAATTGTGGGCAGGAATTTAACCCCACAAATAGGATTATAAACACAATGGTGTCTGCATCCAGTTGAGCCCTGACCAACCTTAGAAATATGGTCTGTTCATTGTAATAAATGCCTTTTATAAATACCATAAACAATAACTTTCTGTATTAGTCATTAGATTTGCCTAAGTACAACATGGTTGCTAACAATCTGAACTGGAGTCATTCATCCTCTCTCATCAAGGTTAACACATGGTACGGCATCTAAAAATTCTGCTTTCAGGCTCACTTAGCCTTCGCACTGTTCATTTGAGTGAATAATCTGTCCACGTCCACGTTTCCATGGAGCAGAATCAGCTGCGCAGCAGCAGCTCTGCCGAGCTCTGGGCTCATGCTCCTGGGACTTTGCATCATGTCGAGTCAGTGCCATTAGCTGTCAACAGGCAATTGATTCTTATTCATTCTTTTCCCTCAAACTTGTCATCGCCTCATGTTCGATAGCTTCACCCTGTATTTGCTGTCTCTATTACTGTCAGATTATTCTGTTATATTTGGATGCCTGCTAAGAATTTTCAGGTGGATGCACATCCATTCTAAATATGGCCATCTTCAACATCCAATTGGTTTCTCACCTCAGACTATAAGAATGATAATCTCTTGATCCTATTGAACTAAGCATATGAATCTTGACATATATTGAAGATTACCCTCTCCCATAGATGGATACATATTCTGGAGTTCTACTGGGTTATTTTTGAGGAACAACAACAACTTAGATTTATATAGCGCCCTCCACACCAGACGGGGTCTCAGAACGCTTCCCAGTAACGGGTCTCGGGGCCAAGCCAGGGTGAGGGGGAGGAAGGTGACCAAAGGCGCGGTCGAAAAGAAAGGTCTTCAGCAGAGATCTGAAAATAGGAAGAGAGGGGGCGAGGCGAAGGGAGTAAACAAGGAGAGTCCATGCAGAACATTGCTCCGGGAGAGTGAGTGGGTAGGATAGATTCTACAATCCTGTGCAATGGTTGAGGATGGATTGGGCTTGATGGGCACCCAGTGGTTCTTAGTTCTCTGCATTTTATTTATTTTCAAAATGAAAGCACTAGAATGTCAGCCAGACCTCTAAGCCTCCTTCAACTGCTTCCCCCCACCACCCCGTCTGGCTCAGATTCCCGAAGCCTCCTGTTTAACCCAAAATCCATACAGTCAGTGAGAGGTCAAGACTTAGTTTCATTGATATACTACACTGATTATGTACCTAATGTGATGCTAGATAAACTTGTGCAAAATTTTGCTACATGCTAGCAAAGCATTCTGATGTATATATGTATATATTTGGCTGCTGTACTGTTCTTTGAATTTAAGGGTAATTGAGTAGCATATAATAATAATAATGAATTTGATATAGTGCCTTTGACATCAAGAAGATGCCCCGAAGCGCTTCACTGGATATATTGCAAAGTGGAGCGACTGTGTTTTTGTGAGCTAACATGGCAAGCAATTGCACGCAATATCTCACAAACAGCCATGGAGTGAATAACCTTTTTTATCTGGAGGATTATTGGCCAGGGCACTGGGAGAAACTTGTTTCTCTTTTTGAATAGTCCTATGGGATCTTTAATGTCCTCCTGGACAGGCCTCGGTTGAAATTCTCAGTCCCTCAATCCACAACTGTTTGTGGGACACTGCTGTGCTCAATTGGCTGCCAGGTTTCGCTAACAAAATATGCAGTCAATTCACTTTAAAGTATATTTTGTGAAGCGCTTTAGGATGTCTCGAAGACATGATAAGGCTCTATATCAAATGCAAGGATTATTTTATTATTACAATAATGATCTGAAAGGATCTGTAAAATAAATTACAAAACTGTTCACGTTCATCCCTTTCATAACATAACATAACATGTAGGAGCAGGAGTAGGCCATTTGGCCCTTCGAGCCTGCCCCGCCATTCAATCATGGCTGATTTTATAATCTAACTCCAGCTAATAACCTAACCCTGCCTTATCCCCATATCCCTTAATCCCTTTCGCAATAAGAAATCTATCTATCTCAGTCTTGAATATGTTCAAGGACTGAGCGTCAACAGCCCTTTGGGGTAGTGAGTTCAATACATTCACCACCCTTTGAGTGAAGATTTTAAGGTTGTGACCCCTGGTTTTAGTTTCTCCAACCAGGGGAAACAATTTCCCACTATCTACTCTATCATGCCCTTTGATGATCTTATAGATTTCTATAAGATCCCCTCCAATTCTTCTATATTCTAGAGAATATAGGCCCAAATTGGTCAGCCTATCCTCGTAACTCAACCCCTTCATCCCTAGCACTAACCTAGTAAATCTGCGCTGCACCCCCTCCAAGGCAAGTACATCCTTCCTTAAATAAGGAGACCAAAACTGCACACAATATTCCAGGTGTGATCTCGCCAGGGCTCTATACAGTTGCAGCAAGACTTTCCTACTCTTATACTCTAATCCTTTCATAATGAATGCTAATATACCGTTCGCCTTCCTAATTGTTTGCTGCACCTGCAGACTAAATTTCTGTGATTGGTGTACAAGGACACCCAAGTCCCTCTGGACACTAACACATTCCAGTCTCTCCCCTTCTAAAAAATAACCCGCTCTACTGTTTTTTTTACCTAGGTGGATGAATTCGCACTTCCCTACATTATACTTCATCTGCCACCTACCTGCCCAATCACCTAACCCATCTATGTCTCGCTGCATTTTTTTAATGTCGTCCTCCGTGTTGACACTTCCTCCTAGTTTTGTTTCATCTGCGAATTTAGATATATTAGTTCAATGTCCTCATCCAGATCATTGAGCTTCGATGACCTCATCTAGATCGTTACTTTCAAACTGACAAGTACTCCTCTGTATCAAGTGTTTACTTTATTCCTTTATAGCAGGGATTCACAAACTTTGTCACAGTGAGGCTACCCTAAATCAATGGAAAAAAACAAATGTGCTTCTCCACAGTCCACAAAGACAACACAAACATCAACAAAATCACATTTGTATAGCACCTTTCACGTCCAAAATTCCCATCCTCTGTAAAGCATGAACAACAAAGTAGAAGGACTTTGATTAATAAAGCCACAATAAGAGTATGAGCATCAAAAGCACTAAATCCACTTCATAAATCAATCTCCATGCCATCGCAAGGCTCTGCCCTCCATAAAATCACAACGTCAAACCACTGTCAGATATGGTCCATGCAGATGTGCCCCACAGTTTGAAAACCTCTGCTTTTTACAATTGGTTTGTAATCTATTAAGTAAAGCTCCATTTCATATTTTAGTAAAGTGGAAAATCAAATAAGGCAAGTTTTAAAAAGCTTTCACTTCTGTTGTCATCGATTGAAGAACAGATGTCAATGCAGAGCAGGCCAATATTGATGACCAATAAATACAGTAACAAGTGCCAATGTGCACTGGGGAGGATTTTAATGTCTCAACAAAAGCCAGAGTTTCAGTGTTGTGTGTGCTGGGGGATAGGGTTGACTTATTCAAGCTTTGGAGGAAATTCAGAGCAAAATATTCCATGATTTGACTGACTTGTTAAATTAGTGGCTTAGCATATCTATTATCTGTCTTTTAAAAACATTTTGTTGAGGGCATCTGCAAAGGTCTTGTGTGATCATTTCTCTTGCCATTGTTCTTTAGGCTCTTAGCTCTCTGTTGTCATAGAGAGCACATAGGCATCCATTCACTGAACGAGTCATACTAGAGTTTTGCTTCAGGAATGTGAATACAGGCTGTTAATTGTTCCAATCCAATTTATCCTGTTCCATTTGTGTTTCACCACTTATTATTCATATAAATTCATTTGAAATTGTTATTCTCTGTCCAACTGTTGATTTTGGTTACATTGCCACAGGACCTTATCAATGTGCAAAAGAAATGAAAGGTGTTATTTTGTTCTGTTTTCTTTGAACAGTCGAAGCACTGCACGTTGGAACATTGATGGCAGCTCATGGCTATTTCTTTCCAATCTCAGACCATGTACTGATGTTGAAAGACGACGGAACTTTCTACAGGTTTCAGGTAGACAGACCACCGACAAACTAACCACTGAAATGCAAATGTTTCTTCTTTCTATTTTTCTGAGCCAACATCTGTAAAACTCATGTTTTTTAAAGGAAATAAAAGTTCATAGAATGTGTCACATTGGGTGCAATGGCGACATTTTTTTTATTCTAAATGTAACCTTTACATCACTTGCTCTTTTTGTTCTATTGGCACCCATTCATGCTGCTGTCATTTGCTTCAAACTCTGTGGATTATTTTTTGGGTGGGGCAGAGTGCGATAGCCCAATGGTAAGAGTGCGGGTGCTCTTTGGTGTTGCTGCTGTTGGTGATGTACTACAGTCTAGTTACTCCAGCAACTTATTTGGATGGAGGGTTCCAGCACAGCTCGATGCAACAACAACAACAAAATTACATTTGTAAAGCACATCGGGAGGACACACCAAGGCGCTGGACAGACAGAGTTACGGACCCAAGCTGAGGGTCGGGGTCAGGGAGGGTGGAGGGCAAGGGGGGAAGCAGGGAGATCGAAAGCACGGTTGAAGAGGAGGATCTTGAGGTGGGTCTTCAAGGTGGCAAGGGAGGGGACGAGATGGAGGGACTGCAGGTTGGAGTTCCAGAGGGTGGGGGCAGAATGGCGGAAGGCCTGCCCGCCGATAGTGGGTTGAGCAAGGTGGGGGACGTGAAGCAGGCTGAAGCAGAGGAAGCGAACAAGGTGGTAGGGAGTTCGGAGGTCCCAGAAGTACGGGGGAGCAAGACCATGGGGGCTTTAAAGGTGAGGACCAGGATCTTGAACTGTATCCTCTGTGTGATGGGAAGCCAGTGGAGTTGGGCAAGGGTGGGTGTGATAGGGTGGCGGAGCCTAGTTTGGGAGAGGACATGGGCTGCAGAGTTCTGGATGATCTGCAGCCTATGGAGGGAAGAGTTGGGGAGGCCGACAAGCAGTGAATTTGCAAAATCGAGCCTCGATGTAATGAAGGCATGTATGAGGGATTCGGTGGCCTGTGGTGTGAGACAGTGGCGGAGCCGGGCGACGTTGCGGGGGTGGGGGAAGGCAGAGAGGGTCATGACGCAGATGTGGGGTAGAAAGGATAGTTGAGGGTCAAACAAGACCCCAAGGTTCCGGACTGGCTTAGTAAGGTGGAGTGTGCGACCATGGATGGTGATGCTGTCAGCGCCTGAGGTGAGGAGGTGCAGATGGGAGCCAATCAGGAAAGCTCCTTGTTGACGTGCAACTGAAGAAAGTTAGCTCTCATCCAGGACTTGATGTCTGACAGACATTCTGTCAGGACAGCAGTGGTCCTGGAGTCAAAGGTAGAGGCAGAGAGGTAGAGTTGGGTGTCATCCGCATACATGTGGACGTTGACCCCATGTCTGCGGATGATGTCACCAAGAGGGAGCATATAGATGTTGAAGAGGAGGGGACCAAGGACAGAGCCCTGAGGAACACCGCACAAGATGGTGCGGGCCTAGAGGAGAAGCCGTTTGAGGAAATAAAGTGCAGGCAGTGTGAGAGGTACGATCTGAACCAATCAAGGACAGCGACGTTGAGGTGAGAGGAGAGGCGGTGGATGAGGATAGAGTGGTCGACGGTGTCGAAAGCAGCAGAGAGATCAAGGAGGACAAGGAGTTAGAGGGAGCGCTGGTTGCAGATGAACAGAATGTCATTTGTCACTTTGACCAGGGTGGTTTGTGTGCTGTGGGCAGTTGGAGGGGTTCGAGAAGGGAGTGGCGGGAGAGGAAGGAGCGAAGCTGAGAAGCAACAACTCATTCCAGAACCTTGGAGAGGAAGGGGAGGTTGGAGATGGGGCGGTAGTTAGGGGAGCAGAGAAGGGTCCAGGGAGGGTTTTTTAAGGATAGGAGTGTTGACAGCAGTTTTTATTGGGGTGGGAACAGTACCAGAGGAAGGAGAGGTTTACAATGTCAGTGAGTAGAGGGGCAAGGAAATGGAGCTGGGAGGCAAGGAGTGGGGTAGGGATGGGGTCAAGGGAGCAGGTGGTGGATTTCATACATGTTATGGATGATGAGAGAGGAGGGGAAGATGGGTTCAGAGGTGTGGAGGGAGGGGTGGGTAGGGGCTGGGGTGGAACGAGGAGATGGGGAGGGGGTAGCAGTTGCAATGGCAGAGACAGCTGAGCTGATTCCCTCAACTTTGGATTCGAGGAAGTCCAGCATCATCTCGCAGTTGGTATTTGAGGTGAGGATGGGTGTGAGAGGGTGGGCTTTGTTGGAAAACTGCACAATTGTAAATTGACTCTTTGCAATTTGCTGATGTACAGTTTTGGCATCTGATATTTGCGAACCAAAAGTTACAGTCAACACAACAAATCCAGTTTGTGAAATATTAGGCTCCAATATGACTTCCCGAGTAACTCCATCAGTGCTCAATCTTCATCTTAGCAATGCCAAAAAAAATACATTGCTATCACATTACAATTTAACACCAACTGACGTAAAAGCCCAGCTTTAACATCACCGATGTCCTTTGGTGAAGGCCAGATACCCAGAAACAAGGCAGAAGCCACCTAAGGTAGGTGCAGCAAAATGGTAGGTTCCTTCTGCTCTTGTAATCAAGAAAGGACCAAATGTGAAATTATGGGAAATAAATTCCACCTGGGTTCCTGATTTACTCTATTCATGTATCATTTCAGAGCATCTAGAATATTGTAAATATTATTTCCAAACCTTCCTCTAATCGAGCCATTGGATTTACCACTTTTCTCTTTGGGAAATGTACGTTTTCTCTTTTTCCTCCTGTGAAAGATGTCCTGATGGACACACAATAGACTTACAGATATGGAGCTCAACATTGAGGCATGTCTGCTGTTCAGCTGGACCTTAAAGATTTCATGGCACTATTTGAAAGGGAAATGCTCTCTGTGTCCTGGCAAACTATCCCCCAAATAAAATTGGACATTCATTTCATGATTGTTTGAGGGACACTGGCTGCCATTTAGTGCCACAAAACACCTACAGTCACTGCACCTTACTGCATATCCTATGAAAAACTTTGCACCATCCTCCGAATATGAAAGGCGCTATACCAAATGTAAGGATTTTCATCGTGGACAACAATCTCCTATTCCCTTCACGGCTAGTTGCTGGACCTTGCTATGTGCAAATGCTCTGTCACTTACAAATACACAGTTACTGCACTTTACAAGGTTCCCTGTGAAACTCTTTGAGACATACTCTTAACGTAAAAGCTGGTATTTTATTTGTTTGCTCTTGGGACTGGAGCCTTTAGGTGTACAACAACAACAAAATTACATTTGTAGAGCGCCTTCCACGTCGGGAGGACATTCCAAAGCGCTGAACAGTCAGATGTCGGGGCCCGAGCATGGGGGAGGGGTGGTGTAGGGGTCAGGGAAGGCAGAGAGGTGGGAGGGAGACCAAAGGCACGGTCGAAGAGAAGGGTCTTGAGACCGGCCTTGAAGGAGGCAAGGGAGGAAGTGAGGTGAAGGGACCGTGGGATGGAGTTCCAGAGTGTAGGGGCAGAGAGGCTTAAAGCCTGGGCGCCGATGGTAGGGCAGGTCGAGCATGGAGCAGACCAGAGCCCGCTAAACGGAGGGAGCGGGCAGGTTGTTAGGGAGTCAGCAGGTCAGAGAGGTAGGAGGAGGCAAGGACATGGATGGCCTTAAAGGTGAGGACGAGGATCATGAACTCGATCCTCTGGGGGTTGGGGAGCCAGTGGAGTCGGGCGAGGGTGGGAGTGATGGGGCCCTCTATCCCTCAGTGCCTTTGCCTTGCTTCCTCCCTTTCCTCCTTCAAGGCCGGTCTCAAGACCTTTCTCTTTGACCGTGCCTTCAGCTCCCCTCTCAACTCTCTACCCCCTCCTCGCCCCCTCCCTTCCCTCCCCTCACCCTGACCATTTCCCCCCCTCCTCGCTCCTTCCCTCCCCTCACCCTGACCATTTCCCCCTTGCTCGGGTCCTGACCCAACTGTCCAGCGCTTTGGGACGTCCTCCCAACGTGAAAGGCGCGCTATAAATGGAATCTTGTTGTTGTTGTTGTTGTCCTGGAGCCTGGTGTGCAAAAGTACATGAGCTGCAGAGTTTTGGATGATCTGCAGCTTGTGAATAGAAGAGTTGAGAAGGCCGATGAGGATGGAGTTCCCGTAATTAAGCCTTAATGTGACGAATGCGTGGGTAAGGGTTTCGGCAGCCTGAGGGGTGAGGCAGTGGTGGAGTCTGGCAGTGTTGTGGAGGTGGTGGTAGGCAGTGCTGGTCATGGAGCGGATGTGGGGGAGAAAGGACAGTTCAGGTCAAACAAGACACCCGGGTTCCTGATTGGCTTAGTAAAGTTCAGTGTGCAGCCATGGAGACTGATGCTGCCAGCGCCTGAGGTGCGGAGGTGCTGGCGTGAGCCAATCAAGAGGATCTCGGTCATGCTGACATTGAGTTGGAGAAAGTTGGCCCTCGTCCAGGACATGATGTCGGAGGGGCAGTCGGTCAGGACCTCAGTAGTCCTGGAGTTCAAGGTGGAGACAGAGAGGTAAGAGTTGGGTGTCATCCGCATACATGTGGAAATTTACCCCATGTCTGCGGATGATGTCACCAAGGGGGAGCATGTAGAGGGTGAAGAGGAGGGAACCGAGGACAGAGCCCTAAGGAACAACGCACAAGACAGTGCTGGAGCTGGAGGAGAAACCGTTTGCCGTGATGAAGTGGAGGCGGTGTGAAAGGTAGGACCTGAACCAGTCAAGGACAGAACCTTGAAGGTTGAGGTGGGCAGGATGGAAACCCGATTGGAGGGGTTCATGGAGGGAGTGAGAGGAGAGGAAAGAGTGAAGCTGGGAGGCAACGGCTCTCTCAAGGACCTTGGATACGATATAGAAACCCCCTTTGAACCTGAACGACAACAAAAACAACTTGGATTTATATAGTGCCCTTCACGTGGGTAGCATCTCGGAGCGTTTAAACAAGACCAGACTGTAACTTTCATACTGTCTGCCTTTGTGCCCTCACTTTAATGATCATCCTCCCCTTCAAAACTATTGTTTTCTTTTATATATAATTCTTGCATTTGTAACGTCTTATCACGTCTTTGAGATGTCTCAAAGTGCTTCACAGAATATACCATAAAGTAAATTGACTGTATAATTTGTGGTCGAAACACGGCAGCCAATTACGCACAACAGTGTCCCAGCAGCAGTATTCTTTTCATACTCCTTATGGTCCAGTGACCTTGCTTTGAATCTGACTGCTGAGTTTTGTTTCATTGCCATTCAGAGTTCTCCGGCCTGCTGTTGCTCTCCAAGGCCATTATTTCTAAGTCTATAAGACGACTTTCTATTTCTGGACGGAATAAATAATGTTATTTTGTAGAGCTGTTTTTCAGTTCAAACTCTAGAGTGAGGAAGATGGGGAGAGACATTGAAGAGTGTGAGGAACAGAATTTGAGGACACAAAGAGAAAATAATGCAAGGGAGGGGAAAGATGAATGAAAACGAGGTAAAAGAGGAAGGTCTTGGGATGGACCTTGAATGAGGTGAGAGAGGGATTCCAGGATGAAGCACTAGAGAGTGAGAGTAAAAAGGCTGAAAGCCTGGCTGCCAATGGGGGGATTGTTAGGGTGTGGACATGAAGCAGATGTTGACTGCCGAGTAAGGGGAATGATAAGGTTTGAGGAGGTTGCAACAAAATCAATAACTTGCATTTATATAGCGGCCTCCACGTGGGGTATAGTGTATTTTTTATATATAATATATTGTATATATATTGTATATTGAAGCACATTATACAAACCCCCTTCACACAGGGTTGCAGAGGTAAGATGGGGCGGAATTGTGGAGGGATTTAAAAGTGAGATTTCTAAGATGACCTAAAATTACATTGGCTGTCCCATGTGGAAATATGCCATTCAGCCCAACTAGTCCATACCAGTGTTTATATTCCAACAGGCCCATACGCCTCCAAATCTCTTCTTCTATTTAGCCCAGTTCCCTTCTTTATCACTACCAGGGCTGTGATTCAACCACAATTTCTGGTTGTTTAAAGAAATTTCTCCTAAACTCCCTTTTAAATCTGTTTTTGGCTTTCATATTTATGTTCCCTTGCCTCCCTTCAGACTCACCAATATGTGTAAGCAGCCAATTTTTGTCAACCTTTTATTATTTCAATGATTGATGAAACAGAAAAAGGGAAAAGCAAAGAGCCACTATGGGTCCAGATTCACCTCCACTGTGGCCAAAGATGTGCTTTCTCCATATTGTAAGACCCAAGTGTGTTTTCTGCAGTGTTACTAAATGGTCCATTTTGCTTTTATCCTATTTGTCATAGTTGATCGACATTATAAAGCAGTGAGAAGATACAGCATTAATGTACCACCCGAGCATTGCAATTCTGTTGCTGTTAATGGTGCTGTATCTTTCTTGACAGCCGCACCATGCAGTGTTTTACAAATGAATGGCATAATGATAGAAAAGCTTTGAAAAGTATGTTGATTTATACTTCAAAGAAATTATCCACGTGTGCCTGACCTGCTGGCATCTAAAAATGTGAATTGTTGTGTTTCGCTTATGCTCCATTTCCAATATCATGTTTTTGTACATGTGCATGTGTGGTGGTGGGAGGTGGCGGGGAGGGGGTGTGGAGGAAAATGACCTCAGTATAAGATCCGTGTCAATGTGAAGTGTATTAAACTCTCATAGAATTTTGATTCACCGGTCAAAAAGTAAGAATTTCAAATAAGATAAACGTGATTCTACCAAAGAGATTATTAGTCTTAATAGACCTTAATCCCAGCAATATTGCCATGAAATACCAGATTGTGTTAATATCCAAACAATTGATCTTAATTGAAAAATGAACATACAATTAAAATGTTCAAAGTAATTTATTGTTGGAGAATCCAATAAACCTGTTTTTTTCCCCCCAGACACCATATTTTTGGCCATCCAACTGTTGGGAGCCAGAAAATACCGACTATGGTTAGTTCTTGTGTGAATGCTTTCTTTGATGTTGCACAAAAGGGCACCACAATCATTTTCATCACTTACAGAAAGAGTGTGTGTAATTTCATTTCAAAACTTTGCTGCTTGAAATGATTCAGATTTGCTGTTGCGTTATGCGAAAAAAAATGACAGACCTCACAAGATCACAAGTTCAGATGAAGAATGGCATATTTGATCTCATCCTTCCAACATATCCATACTGTTGTCCTCCCATCACATTGTCGAGCCCTTGTGTCTTTGTCTCAAACACTCTTCCTGGTATCTGGTTCTGGTTGTTAATTACCCTCAGAGTAGAGAAATAATTTCTATTGTCAGTCCTGAAATTGTCCTTTGCAAACTTAAACCTGTGTCCTCTTGTTCTATCATCTCGGTGCATCTGAAAGTATTCTGGGTTTACTTTCACAATCCCATTTATAATCTTGGAAACTTTTATCAGGTCCCCTCTGAGACTTCCCCTCCTTTCAAGACTGAAGAGCTTTAGGTTGTCTAATCATTGCTATTTGTCTCAGGAATTATTTATAAGAAAGATGCTCCCCATTCCGCTTGCATCAAAAGAAATCTAGTACAAATAGCTGCTTTGAAAGCCTAGATTAATTCATCGAATGAACTGGATATAATGGGTGACTGTGCATTAATAGCCTGCAAGTGGTTCTGTAGAAGAGCAGAGGTTTACATAAAGAACCTAGAGACCCATTAGTTGGGGAGTCTTTGTGATTTGCTGCAAAACAACTTTTTTTTAATAAATAAAGAATGTGTAAGTGTCTCTCCTTTGACTGCGCAGATGTTAGTCACACTAGGGAAGTGAGCAAAAGTGGCAAGGATAAGGACAACATGTCAAGAAGGTTTGCGGAAAATAAATTACTGTATCATGTCATGTCAATCCACAAAACCCACAAAATACACAATCAATCCGCTTCTCACAATATAATCTGTGAAGCGCTTTGAGACATCTCAATGATGTGATAAGGCGCTATGTCAAATGTAAGGATTATTATTATCACAACTCACAAGTTTGGGGATGTGCTTCTGATTGAGTCTCTAGAATACATTGATATCCTCGTGTACAGTGGAAATTCTCTACTTACCGTTAATCCTCCTTTACTCTTATTAGTGAGGTGGCCTTTTTAGTGAGTTTAGGTTTTTGGTCACACTAAGTTTCAAACAAAAAAACACCAGATTGTGACAAAGCAGCCTACACATTGAGCTGCCCGGATTACAGAGTCGCCCAGAAGGTGAGGTTTTACGGTACATGGTGCCTCAGTATGTGTGTTTTTTCAAACTGCTTTCATTTTCTATATTGATCCCATTCACTAGCATCCACTTGGGCAATAGATTAGAACACCATGTTTCCAGATCAAGATGCCATCTCCATTTTTCACCACTTCACCTGCATCATGGGTTTGTTTTAGGAGGTTGTGTTTTAGTGAGCTTTTAAGAAACACAGAAACATTTTACTTTCAAAGTTATTTGTGTAAAACCAACACTACGTACAATTATTCAAAGTAACACATTTTATCGAGAAGCTAAAGCATCTCTGAAAGTACATGGGCACTGGTTCTCCATCCAACCGATAAACTGATCATCAACTGTTGCTGCTCAAAGCTGCTCAACTACGTGCTGTAATTGATGATTTACTTTTGTAATATGGTTAAATACATTTTCGAACACCTTGTATCTTTCAGCAACACTGAATGCCATTAAAGAGAGAAATAATAGAGCTACTGTATTGATAACATTCACATCACATATTGAGCAATAGTTCTGTTAAATAGTCAAGAAAATTAAAACTGATTAATTTCTGTAGGCAATTGTAACAACCATCTGGGATGCTTCCTGCTGTTGATGCAACTAGGACCACCCAATTCGTTAAGGCTTCTGCTTATAGGGTTAACAGGAGCTGAGTGGGAAGAATCTCTGGCAGTGACTAGTCTACCCCTCCAAGTTCTGCCGATGAGCCAGGCTGGCTAGTCTGTCATCAGCAGTGCCTCTGTAGTACTGCAACACACCTGGCCCAGGATCCGGACTACTGAGACCACCACAGAGGGTTGTCTCGATTCTGACATTCCATTCCAGTTTGGCTCCAAGATCACCCCATTAACCCACCTCACCCCAACCAAGAAGGATAATGGGGCGGCCATTTGCTTCAGCAATGTCCCACAACAGAATGTTCAAGGAATACCTTATTCAAAATAGCACCAAAAATTAAAATAGTTTTGGGTATTTAGTAATCATATCACGATAATTGCTCAAGACCAGCACTCCATTCCTCTCAGCTAGTTAACATCTTTGCTTTACATTTTTCAGAGAAATGTGAGGAACAGATACAAAATGAATGGTTTCACGTTGGTTGTATAATTCACTGAAAGGCATAGAACAATGGGACATATGCAGCGTTCAGAATTATCAGATTGGGATGCAACATTGTTCCTTTTGGAACATTGCTGATGCTGCATGGCGACTGCATTTTCCTACAGAAAAAGTCACTAAAGTAATTATCTGTGAAGAGCTCTGAGACATTTGACATGACAAAGCTTAAGTACAAGTTCTTTCTAATTACATCAGGTTCCAATTCTATGTTCTTTTAGTGCTTATGTATCAGTTTACACACTAAATATGTACATAGACAACCCTACCCTTGTCACCATGCTACTGTAAAAATCTATAGTGCTCTTCACATCATATATGTCCTCTAAGGTCCTCCTCCTTCATCTCTCTGTTAGACTCTACCAGATAGACATTTACTCTTTTTTATCTGACTTTCATTTTACTTTATCTCTGCTCAGTTCAGAGCTTATTTCTTTTCCTCCTCTCTAGCCTTTCATTCCTTTTCCTTTATAATTGGTTTATAGTAGCAGAGAGGAGGAGCTCAGCAAAATCTGTCTTGGCAGTTAGCATAACAGCTCCGAAGCACAGCTTCGGAATGGGTTGTTCCAGGTCCTGAGGCTGCTTCAAAAGGGCAATTCTCTCTATAATGCTCCTTAAATCTCAAATTTCTTAATTCAATTTTTAAAATATTTGCGCTTGAATTAATTTAACTGAACTGCTGTAGGTAGCCCAGTCATTCCAGATGTTCACATGTTCACCGTCACCATCATCTTTGTTGCTTCTTTGAAAACAGTCATTGATTATTTAGAGTGTAATTCTCTGCTTTTATTTATAGCGGTTTATCTCTGCAAGAGAACAATGCAAAACAAAGCACGCCTGGAATTAGCAGACTATGAAGCTGTAAGTACCCTCCTGATTAATTTATCACGAAGATCAGCACTCATGTTTTGTCTGATGTCGGGTTTTGTTAATCACCGAACATCTAATCACCATTAGTCACTGCTAAAAAAAATTACCCCGCAAACTTGATGTTTTGAGAAGATATCACAAGCTGTAAAAATAATGTGAGTTTGATTTTAAAGTGTAACAAACTGAGTAATGCTCAATTATTGAAGCACATGTACAGTGAGTGAGTCATGCTGATCTCCATAAAGGATCTCTTTATTATGGCTGAACAACAAAACAATAAAAAAAGCCATGGGAACACTGAAACACAGCAGCGTATCAAAAAGGTATCTAGCCACCATCAGTGGAGAAGTAAGCCCATGAGTCAAATGTCTACAATGCAACCTTAGACTTTAACATTAGTGTGGAGGCAAGAGCAGGCATAATTTATACCATTTTAGTAATATTTAACATAAAGATGGGACGTGCAACCCTGATCACCTTCCTCCCCTTTTCCATTGCTCGGCATCGAACACCCCACTGTACAGCACTCCGAGACACTGTCCTGTATGAAGGGGGCTATATAAATGCAAGTTGTTGTTGTTGTTACAACACATGTTGATGAACAACAATTAAATTACATTTGTATAGCGCTTTTTACGTCGGGAAGACATCACAAGGTGTTGGACAATCAGTACTTCACCCTGAAAGTGGAGTGTGCAACCATGGATGGTGATGCTGTCAATGCCTGATGTTTGGAGGCACTGACGGGAGCCAATCAGGAGAGCCTCAGTCTTGTTGACATTCAATTGAAGAAAGTTAGCTCTCATCCAGGACTTGATGTCTGACAGACATTCAGTCATGACAGCAGTGGTCCTGGAGTCAAGGGTGGAGGCAGAGTGGGTAGAGTTGGGTGACATCCATATACATGTGGAAATTGATTTCATGTCTGTGGAGTCCTGTAGCTCAGTGGTTGAGCACTCGCTTTGCAAGCGAGAGACCTGAGTTCAATTCCAGGCAGAGGGCGAAACCTTGGGCAAGTTTCCTTACTCCACACAGAGCCTAAAAGTAATCCCTCCAAAACCAAAAACAATAATAAATTGGTCATTTTCAATCTACGACTGTTTGTGGGACATTGCTGTGCGCAATTGGCTGCCGCGTTCACCCACAAATATACAGTCAATTCACTTTACAGTTTGTTCTGTGAAGCGCTTTGGGACGTCCTCCCGACGTGAAAAGCGCTATATCAAATGCAAGGATTATTATTATTATGATGTCACCAAGAGGGAGCATATATATATTGGAAAGGAGGGGACCAAGGACATAGTCCTGAGGAGCTCCGCATAAGATGGTGCGGGGGCTGGAGGAGAAACTGTTTGTGGAGGTGAGAAGAAGGATCTGAACCATTCATGGACAGAAGGTTGAGGTGTGAGGAGAGGCAGTGGAGGAAGATGTGGAGACCTGTAGCTCAGTGGTTAGAGCACTCGCCTCACAAGCGAGAGACCTGGGTTCGATTCCCAGCAGGGTGAAACCTTGGTCAAGTTTCCTTACTCCACACGCCTGATAATCCCTCAAGAAACAAAAACAATAATAAATTGATCACTTCAATCCGCAACTGTTTGTGGGACGCTGCTCTGCGCAATTGGCTGCCTCGTTTCGCCCACAAATACACAGTCAATTCACTTTACAGTATATTCTGTGAAGCGCTTTGAGGGGTCTAGAAGACGTGAAAAGCTCTATATCAAATGCAAGGATTATTATTAAGATAGAGTGGTCAACGATATCGAAGACAGCAGAGAGGTCAAGGAGGATGAGGAGGCAGAGAGAGCACTGGTCACAGATGAAAAAAATGTCATTTGTCTCTTTGACTAAAACTGTTTCTGTGCTGTAGAAACCCGCATGGAAACCCGATTGGATAAAAGCATAGAGCTCAATCCAGTGTTTTAATCAGCTCATCTGTAGCATAAGGTACTATGGCACATTGATTATGACCATTAGTAGATAGATTGCAAGGTCATGGCATAATAACTGACGGCTCAACCACTGATGATGGGGTGGGGTTAGGGACGTGCCGCAGATCTGTATTAGTGGAGCATAGAGGCGCGAGCGAGCACATCAGAGAGATAGGGAGGTTCCAATGCATGGAGGAATTTGTATGTGAGGGTGAGAAATTGAAGTTGATCCATTCAGACACAGACAATGGAGTCTGGCAAGGATTGTAGTGATGTGTGATACATAGCATAAAAGAGTAAAGGACTGATAATTCAAGTGGCTTCTCATCCATATAAACAGGTACTTAGAGCGCAGCATTTGTATTCTATTTTTACTATTTTGTGGGCTTGGTTGCAAATACATTGTGGAACACATTCTGCAGAGCAAATCATTCAGTGATAATTAATGGCAGCCAGTTACAGATTTTATCGTTACCACACTTAATTATCACATTCCTGGGCAACCACAAATATGTTCAACGTTTTACAGAACAAACATTTGTTACTTGCATTTCAGTCCTCCCAGGAGAGCTGCAATCAGAAACTTGTATTGTTGTCTGGCCAGGGGTAGAATAAGCTGGCGGCCTGTTTGCACAGACCACCAGCAAAGTTCTGTCATCAGAAAATAAGTCACAATTTGTGACTATGGGAAGAAGTACCCATGCTTGGGTTTGCACATGTTTATGTGTGTTGTTGGCAATGCTGTGCATTCCAGCCTGCAATACCTCTCCTGACAATGTTTGTGGGTTGTACTAAGCCACTTTAACACTTCTGTTGTCTACTTCAAAGGTGCTACACAGTAACATTAATGCTGAACAGTTATCAGTGTTCAAGTCACTGTTGCAAATCTATTTGAGGAATGATCTGCTGGAAATCCCCCAGAAAATGTTGGGTCTGATGTGCCTTTAAATCCATTTCCTTGGTTTGAGAATGTTGGATAAACGGCATAAAAGGTGCTTATCACACAGTCAGTCTGTGAGCACATGGCATGACACAGTGATACTGCACTGTCTAAAACTATGTCCTGATATATGTCAACAGCAATGACTTGGGCAATAATGGATAAGTCTCTTTCATTGAGCAACAGCACAGTTCGGCCAGACAGATGTTTTACTAACAATAATAACATGCAATGGATTTATATAAGCTGATGATATTGGACATTAGATCTAATTACGGGATTCATGTGTTAAATTTCTAGGAGAGCTTGGCCAGGCTACAAAGAGCATTTGCTCGGAAATGGGAGTTTATCTTTATGCAAGCAGAAGCACAAGCAAAGTGAGTAAAATCTCTTGTCCAGCTTTGGGGTCACCTCTACGCATTATTTTTTACATGCCATTGTTCAGCTAGCAGAGATAAACGTATCGATTGTCACCAATGTTGCTATTTGCAGAGTTGACAAGAAAAGGGACAAAATAGAAAGAAAAATACTTGACAGCCAAGAAAGAGCATTCTGGGATGTGCACAGACCTGTGGTAAGTAGAATTTCAAAATGACAAAGAATACGGAAAGAAGAATGGGAAAGAATACGGACTGTCCACCCTACTTTGCTGGATGTTGGAGATGCCAAATGAAATCCAACCTACAGATGGTGTGAGTGGAAATAGCAATTAAATTATAGAGATATATATGAACTGTAGCCGCTAGTTTAGATGAGCCTGGAGGTTTACCTGTCAGAGCACTGGGGAATGTTCAAACAGAAGTTTGAATATTACATAACTGCAGCTGCAGCAGCAATAGCTGAGAGATTGTCTGCACTTGATCACAGAAAACATTGAATATACTTCAGGTTAAAAAAGAGGCAGATCAAATAAGATGAAGGTTCTGAAAGCAATTTCTGTGAAGCACAATACTTCAAAAGGGAAGTTGAGGCTTTTGGTCAATATGTCACAGTCTTAAACATGAAAACAATGAGTTGCGACTTGGTGTTTTGAAAATCTCATTCAAAACTGTAATGTAGACAGATAAAACAGTGACTCAGCTTGACGCAGTTTGAAGCAGACTCTGTGTGGAAAAGACATGACTGATGAAAAGCAATAGACATTGATACAATTTTTAACATACAATTTATATTATGCCTTTCACATCAGTCTTAAAGCAAGAATTGGTTTCTCTATTTGAGAATACAGAAGGCAGACAGAAAGATTGATTGGAAACTAAAAGCTACCCTGTAATGGAAGCATGCATATAATAAATGAATGAACATAAGATAGTATTGAAAGAGAAAAGGTCCACATATCATGTACAATCTAACTATTATGGGATTCTCTAGAAGCCAGTTTCTAGAAGCCAGATTTCTTCCAATGCCCATATCAATAAAGTCAATCTCCAGAATATCCATTCACCCACATCTGAACTAAAAGAACTTTGGTCTTTTGCTCTGCACTGATGAAACTTTTTCAGTCCACTACTCTAGGAACTAATGTATGCCATGAAATGTTTGATTATTTGGTACAATATTTATTTTTCTAGACAAAGGATTTTCTAACTTTGTCACAGTGAGCCTCCTTAAGATAAGAAAAAAAACAATTGTGCCTCCCCATAGTCCACCAAGACCAAACAAAGAAACAAAAATCCCATACCCCGCACGAATGCGAACCACAAAGTAGAAGGGCTCTAATCAATACAGTTACAACACGGGTATAAACATGAAAAGCACCAATTCTACTTCACAAAGCACCCTTGTACCATCCCTGGGTTCTGCCCAAAAAGAGCATAAATCGCAGCAGCAAAAACAAAAATGCACAAAAACCCGAACACCAAAACGCAATACCAAACAACTACAGACTATGCCAGTACAATATTTATCAGTCCCACCCCATTACTGGGAGGAGTGAATCTGTCTCCTCACTGTACAAAATAGTGAAATTCAGGGTTGCAGTGTAGAAAGAACTGTCTAGAACTTTTCTTGAGATGGGACTGTGTAGGAGGAGGCCTGAACTTTGGAGAAATACAGCCTTAAGGTGCTGAAACCTCAATTTTTGAGGTTTTCTTTAATAAAACAAATTTGCTAAATAAAACACATTTTGCTAACTGGGAGTGGAACCCCATTATCTGTGAGTTAGAAATCTATTACCGTGGCCCTCTTTTCACAGATTTCACCCTTGAGAATGTTATCGGGGAGGGTGGAGCATGATGATCAAATAAAACATTAAATTGATCCACAATCTCATCAGGACAAAAGAAAACAATATAGTAGAATTGGAAACTGATGCAATACAGTGGGGACTATTTTGCAGGGTTGATTAACAATCCAGGTGCAAAATATGTGGATCAAGTTAACCATGTGCAAAAACATACAATTGGCTTGAATCATTGATTAACAACCAATGCAAAGAAGTACAAGATCTCCTGGAATACTTTCCATTATTTTCTGATTAAATTATTCAGGTAATTTCCTTTGCACATATGTGTTTACCCACAGCTGACCCAACTTGTCAGTTTTGTATAATTGTCATTAATCCAACTTGAGAATCACATACGGTTGTGTCCAGAACCCTGGGAAAAAAAAACTTTTTTGATGGAACAGTAAGGAGTCAATTTTCTGATGTGCAGATTGTTGCCCATAATCTATTTCAAAGGTACCATAACAATTTAAAGTTTGACCTTACTCTAACCAGAGCATGTTTTCTGCATGACTGAACAAAGACAAAGATTCAGAGCTTAAGTGAAAATTAGTTATGCAAAGCATTAATTCTAACAGTAAGATCTCAATGAATATTAAATTATTAATTTATAGTACTAGTCTTTTATGAATTATTGAATTATGTGTTTCAGTAGGTACTTAAGCAAATTTCTTTGTAAGTCATTACATAAGCAAAGCTTAAATTGCGGAGACCCATTTAACTAATATTTAAGTGATAAAAAAGGGTTTTCAAATTGCATCAACTCTTGATGCACACATCATGTCTTCATTTTGTGCATTATTCTGTTACCTTTTCATTTATATTGTGTAAAGTCGATATCAATATTAAGATATTGGGTGTTCATTGAATTGTAGTGCTTTCTCTACCACTTATCAACACTTTATTTCGAGTATTTGTCACTTGCTGAAGGACTGAATCATGGTGCAATTCTGTACTTTTCATCACTTTCAAATTTCTTCACAACTTTTGTTTTGGTTGAAAATATCAGCAAGGCACACAAATTAATTCGAAATCTGACAACTTGCCCTCAGTGACGTAGTGCCCAGATTAATGACTTTTGTTCTCACGTAGCATGGTATAAAATTGGATTCTATTTCTAGAAACACTGGATGGATTGCATGACATTGATTTCATTACATCTCACTGAAGTCATAAACCTAAATGCTATGGTAGCATACAAATGCTTTTGTCCTTGGCAAGAGTGAAATATGCATGGCTATTAAAGTTAGTGGTGTTTAATGTTGAAATAATTATTAGAAGAATGGTTTGAGATAATATTAAGAAGCCTTCTGTTGTCCCATCTCTAACCTCCGTTTCCTTTACAAGGTATTGGAAGAGTTGTTGCTTTCCAGCTTTGTTTTTTCCTCTCCTTGTGCTCCCTGCGTGCACCCTTCCTATTTGACTTCAGTACTGAGACTTCCCTGGTCAAAGTCAGAAATGACATTCTTTTTATCTGTGGCTAAGGCTCTCTCTGTCTCTTTGCACATCCAAATGGTCTCCAATATGTTTCTGCTCATACTAATCAATCTGATTCGGCTCATTCCCCATTGCTGACTGGAACTTCCTGAGATGTCTTTTGGCCAACAAATAACTTTGAATAACTTTTTAAAATATCATTAATTGTGGCTTTTTCATAAAATTAAAAAATTAATGCAAAATTCCATAACAGTTGTAAATGTTTTATAAGAAATAATAATCCTTACATTTAATATAGCGCCTTATCATATAATTGAACAATTACTATTATTTTTAATTTCCTACAATGATCCTGTGACCCCTCTAAAATGCTTATTTTAGTGCTAAATAAAGGTTGTTTCCTGCATGAGAAGCTGAATTGAAACTATGCAGTCTCATGTTATATAGGGCACTGATAAGATACAAACAGCGGGAATCAATCAATCTGGGGTGAATTTATACTCAGGTCTCAGAGGTAAAGGCCAATCTGCCAATCAACTGTGCACTTGGTTCCCTATTAGCCTATTTCTATTTCATTTTATTCGGATCACTTGTATAAGCAGAAATATATTGGGGACTCTTTGGATGTGATTTTCCACAATCAGATCTGATATTGCTGCATGGTCACAACTTTGTCCTGTAGCTCAGTGGTTAGAGCACTCGCTTTGCAAGCGAGAGACCTGAGTTCAATTCCAGGCAGGGCGAAACCTTGGGCAAGTTTCCTTACTCCACACGCCTAATAATAATCCCTCCAAAACCAAAAACAATAATTAATTGGTCATTTTCAATCTACGACTGTTTGTGGGACAGCAATTGGCTGCCACGTTCGCCCACAAATATACAGTCAATTCACTTTACAGTGTGTTCTGTGAAGCGCTTTGGACGTCCTCCCGACATGAAAAGCGCTATATCAAATGCAAGGATTATTATTATTATTATTTGTCCATTATTATCCATTATTTAATATGTCAGCCTGGCTCACTTGTTAGCTCACTCACTTTTTGAGTCAGAAGGTTGGGGGTTCAATGCCCGTGTTAGGACTTTGAACTCATAATCTAGGCTGACACAGCAATACAATGCCAGAAGTGCCCTGCATTGTTGGCAGTACCATCATTTGAATGAAACATTAACCAAGGTACTGTCTGCCTGTTCAGGTGAACATTAAATATTGAAATATATTCAAAAAGAGGTTGTTTCTCCTAATGTCCTGGCCAACAATCCCCCTCCCCCTCAAATTGGCTATTCATTTCTTGACTATTTGAGGAGACATTGCTGCGTGTAAATTGTCTGCTGGTGTATTCCCTAGTGTATTTGAAATCCAATATTTACAAATTAGGATAGGCTGAATAAATTAGGGATGTATTCTCTAGAGTACAGAAGAATTAGGGGAGATCTTATTGAAACATATAAGATTCTTAAAGGGCTGGATAAAGTAGACACTGAGGGTCTGTTTCCCCTGGTAGGAGAATCTACAACCAGTGGTCACAGTCTTAAAATTAAGGGTCAGCCTTTTAGAACAGAGTTGAGGAAACATTTCTTCATTCAGAAGGCTGTAGATGCTCAGTCCTTGAACATTTTCAAGATAGATTTTTTTAAAAAATAGAGGGATTAGGGGATATGGGGATAGGGCAGGTAATTAGAGTTAATCAGAAGATCAGCCATGATCTTATCGAATGGCAGGGCAGGCTCGAGGGGCCGAATGGTCTACTCCTGCTCCTAATTCTTATGTTCTTATGTTCTTAAACTAGAAGTCACAATTAATATATCTGGTTTGCAGTATTGCAAATAACAACCAATGTGGTACTCTGCACAGTAAGAGTTAACAAATTTGTTTTATTTTTAAAGTGAAACGTTATTTGTGTCTTGACTTTCTACCCTGGTTGGAACAAACTGGTTCAATTCTATAAATTGTTTCCAATCACTCTCTCCTGCAGCCGTGACAATTAACTTCTAGCTGGGGCACCCATGGGATGATCCTGATGAACCATTATACTTCCAACATCTCTTCAGATGTAATGGTGTGAATTGGCAGATGGGTTTGGAAGGCAGTAATGGATTTAGAAAATCGGATAGATATTCCTATCTCCTCATCTTTCTTTCTTCCTCTCAAGCATAACAAGGCAGCATTGGCACCTTTACTGACTGATATTCTGGCTGTTTCTTTGTATTGCAGCTTTGATCAAGGACATTACTCATTTTATTCTTTTTAGAAACATTCCATTTCCCAAGTCTTCGTTTAATTCCAGACAAATTACAGAAAATTTAAGATTGATGTTTCTTTGTGTAAAACGAAGGCTGTAAGAATCTTTCGGGTCCAACATTGTACAGGACAATCTTATTACCAGTTTCGAAAAGTGTTATATTGTTTCACTGGAATTTAAGAGGGTTTCAAACCTTCTATGGACTATTATGTGTGGTATCTTCGTCCACAAAACATGTTTGCCCACAAAGCACACAGTGACTGCACTTTACAGTGTAACCTGTAAAGCACTTTGGGACATCCTCCCAACATGGAAGGCACTATACCAAATGTAAGGATTTGGTAAGGAAGGGAGTGAGGAACTGCCTTCCTCACTCCCTTCGTCTCGCTCCCTCCCTTCCCATTTTCAGGTCTCTGCTGAAGACCTTTCTTTTCGACCGCGCCTTTGGTCACCTTCCTCCCCCTCCCTCTGGCTAGGTCCCTGGATCCGTTACTGTAAAGCACTCTGAGAAGCCGTCCGGCGTGGAGGGCACTATATAAATCAAGTTGTTGTTGTTGTTAAGGATTATTATTATTTATTCTTATCTGTGGAGCAGAGAACTTATATATGAAAAGGTAAGATTTATTTCTGAATTTAAACTAATTGTTACTTTTACCTTTTAGCCAGGATGTGTAAATACTACAGAAGTGGATATCAAGAAATCTTCCCGAATGAGAAACCCTCACAAAACAAGAAAGGTAAGAACCCTTTACTACAAGATAGCTGTGTTATAGTGCAATTACTATATAAATGTATCTAAAAATCTGGAAGCAACTGAAGGAGAGTCTCAGTCTTGAGGTTTTGTTGGTTTTCCGAACACACAGAAATTGCAACTCTTGTTTCCTTCAGAATCCTTTAATTGAAGTGTTGAGTTAGTCACAATCCTGGTGTCTTTAACTTCCTCAACAGTGTCCATCAGCTGATATTTATTTCAAGACACCAAAACATCATAATTTCTACAGGTTCTTATAGTGAATATATTAAGAGATACAGCAGAAAAGCTGGAAAGTGGGATTCATAAATAGACCAATTTAAATAAACAGATTATGGGACCACAGATAAGATGGGCTGAATGGCCTCTTTCTGCACTAAAAAATTCTCTTTTTATATTTCTGTTCTATAGCTACCTGTGGTGGAAATTTTTTGCGTAGTCCCACAAGTAAAGACTTGTAGAATTATCATAAATGACACAGGCGTCACCTTTCGGAGTTAAATTGAATATTTTTAAATCCATGAATCAAGGAAGTATTTTAGTATTGTTTCTTAATAAAAGTGGAAATGTGTGGGTAAACATATATAGTTTGAAATGTTTCACAGACTGAAATAATACTCTAAAACAATTTTAACAATTTGTAGCTCATTTTATTCTAAATTATGTGCTGCTAATGAGTTGAAATTCAGCAGAAGGCCACCGATCAATTCAGAAGCAACACTGTTCCTAAAATAAGCTCATTTGTTATTTGCGTCATTTTATACGGAAGAAACTGTTCAGTATTGCTCCCATTTACAGCTCTCATTATTATTGCAACTGTGTGTCTATGGGTTGCATCATGTAGTTTCTCATTGCCACTGTGCAGTAAGTGAGTTCACAGTGATGTTGAATTAGTCACAATGTGAGTGTGCTGTTAATGAATTCACTGTTACAGTGCATTTGGCTGCAACCTGTCACAGGTATCCAGAAACTGGGAAGGGTGATAGGGGTGTCTTTCACTGAAAATAGAAGGGTTATAGAAGTGTATCAGGTCTGCAAAATTAGTCAATTGCGAAAACTGAAGTCATTCCAATTATTTCTTGCAAAGGAACAAATGGAAAATATTTCCCCCCTGCCAGGACATTTACTAGACCTGGTGGCAACGTTTTCTTACAATGTGATTTTTTTTCGACGGGAGAAAGATTCACCTCATAGTATTTTACAAACAGTGCAAAAATATAATTTTTGGGGAATAAAAGAAACTCATTACATTGAACAAGTATATATATATATATAATTGAAACTGATGTTTTAAAAGGCAACACAACTATTCCTAAAGGACAGATTAATCTATTTGCCTGTCTCCAAAAGGAGTTTTTAATACTTGGATTAAGGAGGTGATTAAAACAGGCAAAAGATAGGGTGAAAGGAACTAGGCCAGGTTTGAGGTAGGATATTGCAAGAGAATGGAAGGTATATCTCCCCCCTCCTCCTCCTTTACAACAATAGCAACCACAACAAATGACATTTGTATGGTGACTTTCACATCGGGATGATGTTCCAAGGCACTGAAAGGAATGCCAAACAAATTAAAGATGTAAATTTGGTTGGAATTCAGACAATTTCAGACTCATTTGCACCTGCCCTATTTCCAACAGTAGCAATCTTTGTGCGAGTAGTGAGTGTTGGGCAGGATTGAACAAGTGTTATTTTTTGTATCATTGCAGGCTCTGTCACGTGTCAGTCTTGCACTGATAACTGAAGCCACAGCAAAAGTGCTTACTTTGAATTTTTGTTCGAATTATTAAGAAATGATGAAGGTGCAAGACTAGAAAAGTCCTCTGCATTCCACCTCTGACCTTTTTGAATTTTAGTGTCCATTATTCCTAACTAGCTCTTTTCACTCTCCCAGCTCCACAACATGGATTAGGAGCATTTAAGTATGGCTCAATCCACAAATAGAGCACGAAAATGCAATATGGATTTATATGGATTTTCGAAAAGGATTTGAAGGTACCACCTAAGAGGTTTATGAGATAGATTCTGACACATGGGATTAAAGGGAAATGTGGCCATCTGGATAGAGAAATGGTTGGAGATCAGAAAGCAAAGGGTAGGAGGTTGAAGGAAGTTTCTCAAACTGGAAACATCTAGTAAGTGGCATTTCTTGGGTGCCTGTGTTGGGGCTGTTCTTATTGATTTTAGACACCAACTTTAATGAAGATTGTGAAATACTGCAAGAGGACTTATAGTATTTCAAAATCTGATTTGCAGGATTTGCAGCAGAGCGAGCAGATGAATTTCAAATTTGACTAAATGTCAAACAACGCGAAGACGTACAGATAGGTAGCAAGGATAGGTAAAGAAAATTCATCTTAAGATCGTTGAAGCTGACAGCACAGGTACACCAAAACAAGGTAGACAGAATCCTTTGTTTTATATTCAGAGGTGAAGGATATAAATCAAGGAAATAATGTTTACATTTAAAAAGCACAGTGCAGATTCACTCGGATGTTACTAGTGTTGACGCATTTCAGTTATGAAAAAAGATTTGGGAACAACAACAACAAATTGAATTTATATAGCATCTTTCACATCAGGAGGATATCCTGAGGTGCTAGACAGTCAAGAGTTTGGACCTGAGTTCGGGGTTAGATTTGGGAAGGGTGGTGGCCAAGGAGCCTGGGGGTGGGAAGATGGCTGAAGGTGGGGTCAAAGAGGAAAGTCTGGAGATGGACCTTGAAGGAGGTGAGACAAAGAGACTCTGGGATGGAGTTCTGGAGAGTCGGAGCAGAAAATCTGAAGGCCTGACCTCGATGGTGGGGCGTGCGGGGGGCATGTAGGCTTTTTTGCACAAGAGGGCTCATGGGTGACATGATAGAAGTCTTCAAGACAGAGTTAATACACAGTTAATAATTGGTAACTTGACATTTGAGGAGATAAAAGATTGAAAAAGAGTAATATTAAAAGCTATGGGGAGTGAATAGAAAAATAGGATTAGATTAGGTTATTCGTCTAGAGAAAAGCACCAGCACAGATGTGATGGATTGCTTTTGTACTGTAGCATTCCATGATTCTATGAATGATGGACTTTAAGTATCAGATATAAACAGGAGGATATCAACTGCATGTGTGACAGGGCTACTTGTGGTCTCCAGCCTGGCTGTCTCCTGAGCAAAACATAACCCCTTGTGTTGCTATTTTCAGATGAAATGCTGGACATACTTATCTTATTTTGACACACAAATAGGTATTATCACTCAGTATTGCCAGGCAGCATGCCATACCAGGAGACAGTATAACTCCCCATGCTGGAGGCAATCTGATTGATAGAAAGAATTATGCCTGTTTCAAAAGACTTCATTCTGCACAGAACTACTCAAGTCAACTTTGTTTCATACCCAAAGCATCTCATAACATCATGGTATTGTGTTAGACAGGTTTATATGGTTATATATAACTCATCAAAGAAGACACAATCCAGGATTAACTGAGAGTATATCTTGGATTCAACAATCACATACTTTCATCCTTCCAACACAAAAGAGTATTTTCAATATGGAAAGGCTTTTTGTGCTCACACTGTGATACTAAAATAAACATGAATATTACAGCAATAAAGCTGTTTATATGTCAGCATTAACTCTATAATTTTTGAAAGCTTCACTTTTATGTGCCATTTTCCCACATTCCAATTTCAAGATTACAGTATTTTTATTTCCTTCACTTTAATATAACCTCTTCATTGATTCATTCTTTCTTTTCGTTTTCTTTCCATCACCTTTATTGTACAAAGGCATGAATAAGAGTTTCAGCAACATTGGGTGGGAGATAAGGATGAGGCAGTCAATGTGGTAAAGATACAGTAAAACGGTCTTGATCAGGGTCTGGATGTGAGGGCAGAAAGAGAGCTAAACATCAAACTGCAAGCCAAGTGTTTGCACTGATTTAATGAGCTAGAGAGGCTCGGAAAGTTGAGGAAGTCAGAGCTGGAAGCAGGGAGAGAAAATAAGAAAGACCACTTTTGAAACAAACTTTTTGAAATTCACATCCCTCCTTCAGCTGAACTCACGTTGTCCATCTTTGTGCATTCACACAACTCCCCTTATTGAGAGTTTAATTAACATTCAGTGAGATAAACTGGGCACATTATCATCAGGTATTCAGCTGGCGATTTCACTACATATTAAGCTACAGTCATTAATCCTTCATTGTGAATCTCATCATGCATCAATGACATGGAGAATAGTGGAGCTTCCCATCTGCACTGAAACTCACAGACAGGACGACCCAGATACAAAGCTCAATAAAAGCATCACATTAACTTCACAGAGTATTTTATTGAAAACAATATACCAGTACCTTAGGGTAAATTCAAGGTTATTATCTCACCTTGTGGTCTGTATATATGTTTGTGTGTATGTGTGCGGGCGTGGATGGGGAGGGGTTGTCAGGTGACAATTATGGACAGCTTGTAATTTGCTATTATGAAAATACAAATATAGCAACAAATGAAGACTATTCAGTCATTGCAGGTTGCAGCTTCTATACAAAAACAAGTTATGTTAAATATATACAAGACATTGCTTTGATCAACAACAACAACTTGCATTTATATAGCCCCCTTCATATGGGCTTGTGTCCCGCAGGGCTTTATCACTGTAGTTGGAGTGCTGAGTGAAGTTCTGGACATTTAATTCCAAAAAGAACATCAAAGCCGTGGAAAAGGTACAGTGTAGGTTCACACAGAAAGTACAATACAATACAATTTACATTTATATAGCGCCTTTCACATTGGGAGGATGCTCAAAGTTCTTCACAGTGCTGGATGGGCACCCAAGCTGAGGGTAGAATTCAAAGGGGTGTGGAGGGAATGATGACCGAAATCCAGGTCAAAGAGGTAAGTTTTGAGATGGGCTTTGAAAGAGTGGAGTGAGGCAGAGGAACTCTGGGATGGAGTTCAAGAGAGCAGGGCTGCATGACCGAAAACTACATCGTAGCTAAGCC